TTCTAAGCGCCCAGCATCTGGACGGACTGTTTCCGCTTCATTAACGCAAAAGCCCAGTGAGACTGGAAGGACCACCAACCTGTTTTCCTCAGACCCTATCCCCGGCTGCCTACCTCAGGGTCTGCCCCAGACCCCCAGGGCTCCGCCATACACCGCTTAAAGTCAGCCCTTGCTTCCCCCGCTTCAACCCACCCCAGGGGCCCATGGCCTCCGCCTAAATTCTCAGGCTTCACCCCAGGGGTCCCATGTTGGCTGACCTCCCCAGGTCCGGCCTCCAACAGCCTTGGCTCTCCAGGCCCCACCCCTAAAACTCCCCAGTCCCCAGGTTCCCCTACAGGGACCTCATGTACTCTCCAGGCCCTTTCCCCATTGTCCCCAAACACCAGGCTTCATCCCAGGGACCCCATAGCCTCTACAGGCCCCACCCCTATAACCTCCCATCTGCAGGGTCCTTCCGTTTTCTAATGTCCAACGACCCCGTAGCCTCTCTAGGTCCTGCTCCTATAGCCCCAAACACCAGGCTTTCTCGCCGGAATACCATGCCTCTCCAGAGCCCAATCCTACGGCCCTCAATATCCAGGGTTCATCCCAGGGAACCCATACCCTCTCCAGGCCCTGCCCCTATAACCCCAAATCTCCAGGGTCCATCCCAGGAATGCCCCTATGACCCCCAATTCCCAGGGTCTATCCCAGGAACGCCATAGCCTCCCCAGGCCCCACCCCTAGAACCCCCAATCTCCAGGATCCATCCAGGGACCATACCCTCTCCAGGCCCCGCCCCTGTAACCCCCAATCTCCAGGGTCCACCCCAGGGAACCCAACTCTCCAGGTTTCATCCATATAGCCATCCAGTTCCCAGGCTCCATGCCAGGGACCCCAGACCCACTACAAGCCCCACCCCCCCAAGCCCCCCCCCCCCCCCCAACCCCCCCCCCCCCCCCCCCAACCCCCTTCAGGCCCCCCCCCCAGCCCCGCCCCGCAGGCCTCCGGCTTCCCCCGAGTTTCCGCCGCAAGCTCCAGACCCTGCGACCCAGGCCGCCTACCCAGCAGCCTTTGCTTCCGGACACGCCCCCTAACCCTGCAGGCCCCGCCTCCCCCGCGCCGCGTTCCCTGGGGCTGCAGACGCCATTGGGGGGTCCGTCCCACCCCCGGCCGGGCCCCCGCAGCCCCGCGCTCACCTGGCCGGCCCGTGCGCCAAGACCAGCGGGCGTCCGCGGCGCGAACTTCCCTAATGCCTCGGCTCCGGCGCCGCCATCTTCCCCGGGACCAACGAGTTGCTCGACCCGCGTCGCCGCCTCCCAAAGACTTCTGGGACGGCGGCGCGGCCTCGGCTCCGCCCCGCTTCCGGGTCTATTTGCATGCGAGCATTTCCAATGATTCCCAAAAGCCACCGTAGCTGTATTTGGTAGAATAAGCACTTTCTCAGCGCCAGTTAATAACTAGGTTAGTTGCATTACACGCCAGACTACGGACATACAGGTTGGGCAGCGATAGCGTTTAACGAAAGTTGCCCTATGTGTACAGTCATTGATCCCAGAGGCTATAAATGGGTCCTGGTGCGCGGGGTACACCGTGCTCGCTTCGGCAGCACATATACTAAAATTGGAACGATACAGAGAAGATTAGCATGGCCCCTGCGCAAGGATGACACGCAAATTCGTGAAGCGTTCCATATTTTCTCCCGTTTCCTGATGTCCAAGATGGGGAAACTGAGGCTCGTCTAACGGAAGTCGCTGATCCCGTTACGGCCTGTTCCTACTTCCATCCACGCCTCCAAAAGCCAGCTGAGTGCCGTGCATGTTGGCCTTTTGTATTTATTTA